AGTCACTTTTCCAAGCTGCTAACCATTAGAGTGTATGCCACCAATTTGGCATCAGACATGTGCATCACAAAAGCAAGATAGCTTTGTGAAGTGAAATATAAAGTGGATTTAGAATATCCACTTTATATTTCACTTGTGTTGTTTGGCATTCAGGGTGGACGGCAAAGTAAGAATTTCATTGTGCAGGGAAACACATTTCTATACTGTGCATATCACAATAAATGTAGCAGAACTCATTTTGTTTTTAAACCATCTGCAAACTCAAACATCAGCAATTCAGTTCAAAGATTTACATGTTATAATAGAGATCTGGCAGAAATTCATTAAGACCTGTAAAACAGAGTTTGAAGATTAAAATCAATGAAACCCCCCCCAAGCATGTCATTTTGTAGGTTCCAGATATTAACGTACTAGTAGCCTAACTTGTATGGCTTCAGACTGTGGCAGGAAACCGGAGCACCCGGAGAAAACCCACGCAGGCACAGAGACAACAGGCAGTCCTTTAAATGGAAATACATGATATTAATGAGGTTCAGTGATCCCATTTAAGTCAGTTGTAGCTATGCTGTGCAGGTGACAGAGGAGCAATACATTCACCAGCTTAACCAGTTTTTCACTAAGGTCATAACTGGTTGACTTTTCTGCTGGTCCTCATGATGCCCCCATGGTGCTCTTCAAACTATCTTCAGCCTTGCTGCTGCATATGCAGATACAATTTACTCAAACTGTTTCGAACAATATCCTTGATTGGATATTGTTGGATAAACTTACTGACCTCATGAAATAATCCAAACCCAACCACTGAGTAAAAGATGCATTTTCAAAACAAGAACTACTGTATAACTTTTACAGTTACTCCTCCTCACTCAGGTCTTTTAGCCATCAATCTGCCATGGGCCACCTTCATCTTATGCTGCCACCCCGACAGCTCTAGTTACTCATTTCCCTCTAACTTCCCCACTCACTCCACACCTTCCCCACACATCTCGTGGCTGGCAGCAGGCACCCGTGTGCCCAGAGAGACCACCACTACATCTCTTCCCTGGCCAAGTCTGCAATCCTTCGCCTGTCAGACCGGTTCATTGCATTAACCTTGGAGCAGAGCCAATTCACTCACTCACCACATGCACATTCCAGTAACACATCTATACACATTTGTGTCCACACAGGCCTCAAAATCCTTACCCACTTCTTTTTCTTACATTATCAGTCATCAACCATGCAGTACAGTCCCGGAGCAGTAGAAAATGGCTTCTTCATGGTCTGCAACATCTATGAATACCATCATATTAAAAGTAGACAACAGTATTATCAAAGCATGAAAAGGTAGTAGCTTTCATTAAAGCTTACTGATCAACAGAAGGTTTTGGTTATCCAAGCGTTTGCATGTATAAATTGTTCATATGCCTCTGAGAAATGGGACTAAGCAATAAGTAATTAAAGAAATGACTTCTACAAAACATGGCCAATTAATAAACTTTTGCAGGGTAACATTTAAATGCAGACTGTCTCTTGTTCAGAGAGAACATACTCTCACAAAGGTTGCAAGTCTGTTTGCACACACTGAATAAAGTTGTTTAATTATCCATATGCTCGAGGACATGTAATATCCTTGCCAAATGTAATTATGCCATGAGATCAATCTGACCATGCAGTTGTTTATCGTACTCCTGCTATATCCCTACTACAATACTTAATCCCACATTTAAGCCTGTGAAAATAATAATGGCTGATAAATGGCTCACAATGTTTGATGCCAGTTTGTTCAGGTTAAAGTACCTTGTTTCAACTAAGTTCTAATTACAGGATTTAAATAGAGAAGGCAGTCACACTTATTAAGTTTACTTTAGAGTTCAAACTTTAAACATTTAGAAATAGGCCAACAAAACATTGTCTTCCAGTCAAACCTGCCTGAGGTTATCATTGTGCATCATTCACACGACAGTCTGAGGTGCTGATGGATGCAGCAGTGAGTTTCTTGACATGATTAGTGAAATATGACTTGTTAATTTTGGTACTGTGAAATGTCAGAGTTTTGGTCACTTTTTGTGCTCTTGCCACAAATAGACCTTAAAAAAGCAAAGTGTGTGCAAATTTATTTCCTTACTCTAACAGAATATTTATAGTTTGGTTGCTGATAGTGTGACACAAGTCAGTGTGAAAAACTGAATAAAGAATGATTTGTAGACGGGGTCTGTTAGATGACTTAGCTACAATGTCGTGATGAGGATGACTAGACTTTCTACTGATTTTACAAAGTTAAATAAATATAAAACTGAGGAGCTAAATGTATAATCTGGCAAAAGTTGAAATTACTGCTGGTAGTCAATTTCTTTCCATCCAAGACTGTATAGTAATGTGCCCAATACTATTGGCCTGAGGCTGTTTCATGGGGTGTCTAGTTGATATACTGTATGTGAGCCTATCAAGGGAAAGTACATTGTGACTGTTATTATAGGCCTTTTCATAGAAGAATTCTTAAGTAGAAAAATAAGTCCATTCATCCATTATTTATACTGCTTATTCCTGAATCAGGGGCTGAAGCCAAGCCCAGTTGACTTTGGGTGAGAGGTGGGGTCCACCCTGGACAGGTCAGCAGTCTATCACATAAAGACAGACGCAATCACATTCACTCCTACAGGCAATGTAGAGGCACCAATCAACCTCAGCTGCATGTCTTTGGAAGGTGAGAGGAAGCCAGAGTACCCAGATCTGATATCTGATATTTATTTATTGCCCACATAAAAGCGACTTAGCTAGACTGAAGTCATGCCTCAAAATTGTGATGTATTTCCTATTCAGAGCATGCAGATGTATTGTAATCATAATTATAACTGAATATGTGAAATTAAAGCACAGGTGAAGCTACAGAAAGTCCTTAGCACAGAGAGAAAGCTGGTGCACTTTGGAGTCTGTGATCATGCAGCAGTACATGGAGTGACTGTTGATGGTCAGTTACTCTGGGGATTTTTGTTTAATGAAAGATGGTCCTCATTAACTCATCTGTGTTCCACCTACAGTATAGTGGCATTTTCACTACATCACTGTATTGTTCTGCAGGGGATTGTGGGTCATCTATATTAATAACCAGTGGCTGCTAGCACATGATGAATTCTCTAACAAAATGCTACAGAGTGGTTCCTCTTTGGAACAGCTCATTATCTTATATTCACAATTTTCAAGTTCCTGCATGAAATGAGAAACAAAACAAACACAACCAGATGTTGCTATCCAAATATTGATTAAGTCCCAACACAGATCACTGATAAAAACGTTTCATTGTGAAAGAAATATTAAACAGGCAGGTGAAGTCAGTATTAAACTGAAAATCAAATAGAAAGAAAGTCACTTTCAGCTTTTCCTGTTTAGGGGTCGCCACAGCAAAAATGACAACTTGCATGTTGACATTTGGCATGTGTTTTACGCCGGATGCCCTTTCTGATGCAACCGGGGGGGCAGTGGCGATAGCACTGCGCCTTAACCACTAGCCTACCAGGGACGGCTAAACTGAAAATCAAATCAAACCAAAAAATCAAAGCTCAGGAAGTTCAAACTGCCCCAGGAGCTGCTGATACAGTTCTACAGAAACTGTACAGACATTGAGTCTGTCCTCTGCACCTCCATCACTGTCTGGTTTGGCTCAGCAACCAAACAGGACAAGTACAGACTTCAGCAGACAGTCAGGACTGCAGAAAAGGTCATTGGTGTGAGCCTGCCCTCTGTTAGGTTATTTCTTAGTTAGATAGATATGGATTAGAGATCTGTTGTCTATGAATGTTTAGTGCAGACAGGGTGACTAGCTTGGGCTGTTAACTATTCAGCCTGCAGTCCAGACTGCAGGCACGTCAAGGTTACAGGAAAACTGCTGTTAGTGTCAACTGTAATGCTAGTCTTAATATTTGTCTTAATGTGTAAGGTTATGTCCAATTGTTTAGATACACACCACGAAAACAACAGTCACGCACCTTGACTTTGCCTCATGTTTTGGCTAAACGTTATAGCAGGTGCAAGGCTTGCTTAGCGGCTGACGTCACGGTTCGACAGCCCAGAAAGGATTAATCCAGCACGGTTATTTTTTATAAAATCTAAAGCAGTCTCTTTCGTCTCATTGAGAGTTCCTGGTTTGAAAGAACCGGAAGAAGCTACACAGAAATAATAGCTTATACCTCCATGGAGGACCTGTACACCTCATGGGTCAAAACGAGGGCAGAGAGGATCACTGCAGACCCCTCACACCCGGGACATAATCTGTTCTCCTCCCCTCCGGATGGCGTTACAGGTGGATAGAAGATGATTACTACCACTGACAATATATTTTTTCTTGTTGCTGTAAATATCACACACCAAGACAACCAGACACAAGGGCAGTTTCTTTCCCCGGGCTGTCACTCTGATGAACACTTGACCCACATAAGTATGACTGAATAACCCTCAGTGCTATACCTGTAAATATACCTCGTACAGATTATACACATTCGTACAGGTCTCTATTCTTAAGTACTCTGTTTCCAAATGAAAGTCACCTTGTAATGCAAAACATTTATATAAAATCATTTACCTATACTGAAAGCTGGTATTGATAATTTGTTTTAAGTCAGGCCATAGCATATGACTCACATAATCATACTCAAAACATTCAATGATCCCTCGTGCCTTGTGGATGGGGACACTGTCATCAGGATAGAAGTGTTTGATCACAGTATAAAGGTGATCACTCAGAACAACTTCGTATTGATTCGCAGTGACTCTTCCCTCTAAGGGGACAAGTGGAGCCAAACCTTGCCAACATCTACATTTATTATGCTTCTGCACTCATTCATTCAGGTTTTTCCTGTACTTTGTCGGCCATTGACCTTGCGACTGCTGACACAAACAGCAAGCTTTCACACCGATGTACACTAAAGTCATGTTTACCTAAGTGCTTCAGTTATGGAACAGTATCAACGTTTTATGTGTTTCTGACTTTTTACTCCTTCTTCCTCTTTCCATTTCCATTACAGGGCAGTAGTTGGACACAGAGAGCCATTACCTGATGACAGCAAAGACAATATCACCATTTTTACCCGAATCCTAGACAGGCTGTTGGACGGCTATGACAACAGGCTACGTCCTGGGCTAGGAGGTAAGCAAGATTCTATGACAGGTAAAGAGATAAGATTTCAGACTACTCATTGAAGATAAAGATATAAAATGTGTTTTTCCACAACAACGTTCATTCTCTAATAAGATGCTGTTTATATTGTTATACAGAGTGAAAAACATTACTTACTGTAAGTATACAATACTACATAAACTGTACTACATAAATCTGCATAAATGCATGAATCATCACATTTCTAATCTGAAGTAATCCAGTTGTCTGTACATTCACAAACACAATACATTGCATCTAATTCAGCAGTTGAGTTGAGTTGAGTTGAGTTGAGTTGAGTTGAGTTTGAGTACTGTTATTGAGTACTGCATTGTAATACATGGCCAGATGTAATCAAATGTACAGTGGGCTAAAAAACAGGACTCCACTTTGTAGCCCAGAGCATTTGTGCATTTTATCACTGCTGTTATTCTTTGTCTTGCTTTTATTTATAGATAAGCTAAGATTTAGAACTATGTACTGTTCCTATATTGCTGGAGGATGTACACAGGGAAACATCCACAGAAACATTCAAACTTCCTGTTTACATCCTTATAAACATTTTTATAGTGCAGATGTGGGTTGGGGTTTTTCAGGAGGTACAGGTGTATCCTGTTTGTATGAGGGAGGGCCCACAGTGTCAAACTTGTAGATAGAAGACCATTACTACCATTGACAATATATTTTTTCTTGTTGCTGTAAATATTAGCAGACACCATGCTGCTAATACTTGAAATTGTTCTTTCCACTAGTAGCTTTTTCACTTCATGGATCCAGAAAGCCACTCACTTGCTGACTGATGACTTATTTGCTTCTAACAGGCATTAAGAGACATGGTAACTCATATAGACACACATTGAAACCAAGACCAAGGCATATGTTGTAGAAATATTTGATCTTCACAAACTGCATGTTTTCTGTTTTTTAAGTGATTTTTTATTATTATTAACTTTAATAGTTTAACTTTTTTATTCTTCAGGAATATGAAATTAGAATCTTATATTTTACTGAAGCAGTGTAGGCTTGTATTAGGACTATGTCAGTGTATTACAGCACAAATACTTTCCAACAGCAAATCGCTGTTTGCAAGAAAGTGAACTAACTATTATGTCTATCTATAATGCAAGAATACTGAAAAACACCATGGGCACTTCTACTGCAAATGGAGTTGATATTACATGTGCTAGTATAGTAGGTCATTTTGTGTTTCAGATGAATCTAAATTAATCTTATTTGCAAAAATACATTGTGAAATGATAAGACGTTAGTTCTAAATGGGCTCATGGTTTACAGTTTACATCTCAATCGCCTTAGCACCTGCACACAGATACACCAGTTGGGTTCCTCCTCAGTAAAGCCAGCATGCTCAAAGTCAAATACCTCTTCCTGCACAAGAACACTACTACCAATCTTCCTCTTGCTGGCAATCCCCATGCCCCACCACTCACAATTCTGGAGAGAAATAGCCATGTGAAACCATCTCAGACAAATAGACTGGATAGAAACTAGAGAAAACCCATTTAATTAAATTTACAGGCACATCTATTAGCTCTGCCCTATGCTCTGGTGCACCGTTGTAAACAGAAATGGGCCGACTCATTCCGTTCCCCCGCCTATATGCCTGCCATGCAAACTGCTGACTTGGTGCTGTGATAATCACATACTTGTGAAAGCAATTTGTGTCACAGGACTGATTAATGTGGATGTGGATCTCCTCTCTCAGGGGGGCCCTTTGCCAAAGGACTGGAGACTTAACCTGTTGGTGGTCATTTACATCTGGGACACAGTTGAAGCTAAGGATCTGTTCACTTTTGGAGAAAAGCCTCATCACTCTAGTGTAGTTGCCACAGCGCTGGGGGTGGCTATTTGTCTCACCAATGGCCCAAAAGCCTACATTACACATTTGGCCCAGAGGAGCTGATTCAGCCCACACTGAAGAAGGCAAATTTTTGTTGTCAGGACTGTCATGCCTCGCCCCACTTAATGCGATTTTAAAATAAAAAGTCAATCAGCACATTTAAAAGTCTTGACTAACTTATTGTATATTGATGAAACTGACTGCTGGTCAAGAATCATCTATTATGACAAAACAAAAGCAATTATGGCCCTTGTAATATAACATAATGTATACAGGTAGTTATAATTCAAAGCCTTGATAGACATGCCAGATTCATACCACAACAGACTACATCATGTCTAATGGCAACAAAGTGTTGAGTTTCACATTAGGAAACATCTAATGCTGTTGACCCAGGATTATGTTCTTAAACCTGCAATCACGACAGCAATGACAGTTTTGAGAGAAAGGAATCCAGCTGTTTGGAAGGGCACTGAGCTTTTCAGTTTTTCTCTCAGTTTTTGGTAGAGATGCAGAAGAGCAGTAAAGATGCCTCGCTTACACTTTTCCTGTGAAGCAGCTTAGTTAAATGCTAGCAGACAAACTTCACTATCATGTACACAAGCAAGCAACTTAACAAAGATGGAGCTGTAGCCAAGCTCTACGTTTGCTGACTGCACTGTAATGTTTTCTGTTCCTTGTTGTCTCTTTCCTCAGAGAGTGTGACAGAAGTGAGGACAAACATCTATGTGACAAGTTTTGGGCCGGTATCAGACACAGACATGGTGAGTATTATTCTCTCCCCCTTCCCCCTCACTCTAATCAGCACTGAGTCATCAAATCTAAGTAGGTTATCAGGCTCTATTCAGTTGTAATTTGTTTAGTTAGACATATGTACTTGGACAACATTTGTCATTTTGGATTCTGCAGCCATGTGGACCTCCTTTGCAGAATAATAACATTTAATTGTAGCTAGGATTGCACACATTCCCTAATCTCTTCATCTGCATTTTAAAACAGCAGATACCATACTGGTCAGATGGTCAGTGAACATGATTCAGAGTTTGTTTGCCAATATTACAGCTCCAGAACAGCTTCTCCCTAATTATCTTTCACTTTCACTAGATATGTTTTGTGTTTTGATATCATATCAGATGTTTAAGAGAAAAATATATGGCAATATTATGGCACAGCAAGATTTATACCAGGGATATAATTGAATCTAGCAATGCAATTTCAATTGTATCAACAATCATTATTTTCAAAATATAGCACTGAATTTAATTGGAGGCGACAGTGGTGTTGTGGGTAGAGCAGTTTCCTTATTCTCTGTTCTGTTGGTTTTACACAGCTAGAACTATGTGCGCACACACGTACGAACGCGCACTGACACAATTAAGTAAATGCAAATAGAGCACACACACAAATCATATTGATATAACACACAATAGTGATGCACACTTTATCATTTCCAGTCTTTCTGCAAGTCACCCTTGCAAAAACTGTGGAAAAATAGTGAAATTTGGATGAATTTGCATGCACGGTTTCAAAATGTTCGTGCGTCACCATCTTTTGGTCAACTACTAAAATTGCATTTTGAGACCCTCTACTTTAAAATGGTGTATTGCTTCAGGGCATTGAAATATGACATGATATGATGTATTTGGCATCAAAAAAAAGCATTTTTAATGGTTTTCAACGGTGAGTAACAGTAACCTAGGTACATATGTGTGAGTATTTTTATTCATTTTATTTTTATTTTGCCATTTTAGGCAAATTTAAGGAAGTGAGACCTCAGTTTTTCAGTTTTAAAAAAATAAATAACCTGTAGCAAATTTGAGCTACATTCATTCAACACAGCCAAAATGGCTTGAAAAATAAAATACAAATGCTACCATTAGTCAGCTAAGGCCCCATGAGGGTTAATAGCAAATGGTCTGAATTGCTTAAACTGGTGCCTGTTAGATGACTGGCTCAGTGTTTCTTTTGAGCTGAGAGAATAATAAGAACAGTTGCAGTTGGAGCGTAGAAAGGGGCGAGTTATTTCCATGAGTTATATGAAGTACAGTTGGCCTTTTTGACACTGCTGAGTTATGGTCCTCAGGGCCAATAGAGGCAAAGTTACAGTAGGTCAGGGTCATGTGATTGTGTTTTCTGGTTCATGAGTTTTTGAGTTCAGGATGAGCTGGATGCATTATTATTGCTGAGAGTGTAGCAGAACATTTTCAGAGTACTGAGTACTGCAGTAAACAGTTCTGGGAAACAAAATCACAGACCAGTTTTCTGGGTCAGTTAAAGAAGAGGACATAACTAAACCTGGAAGTATTTCAGAGGTGGAAAGAGGCTTTACAGGTGGAAAGAGGATACAGTATTTCTTTGATGTGTTCAAAGGAACATTCTGTTCTGGAGACAATTCATTAGAGTTTAGCAGATTCATTTCAGGCAGCTATCCCTTCACTAAATAAAGTGAGGATAATCTTTAAACTTTGCCTGTGTCATTATTTTTTTTTACCAAAGCTAGGCATTTCCCCCTAGATTACTATAATGAGTTGTTTAATAAACCTTGTTAACTCTTTAAATTGAAAGTGCTCTATTGAAAAATAATATTCTACTCTCACCAATCTATAAATACTGCTTTGGCAGTAATGCAGGCTGCAGCAATGCATTGTTTATCACATTTATTTAGGCATATGTTTTAAATTAAATGGGACACATGAGAATTAAACAAGCTACCTTTACCTTAGAGATCACCATTATTGTTTTAGCAAGGCCTAGAAGTAAATGTTCCCTCATATAGCACTGGCCTGTGTTTAGCATTAAATACCAGATGATCAATGCCAAGGAGCACTGGTGAGTCACAGGTGACCATGAATTCAATATCTGTTATGTTATCTTCAATAACATTTTTGCTGTACTCTAATTTCATGCAATAAATAAGTTACCAACAAGGCTAAGAGCAACCTAATGGTTCTGTAGGCTTTACTTTATATGCTAACTTGCTGATGTTTAACAGGTATAATTTCTACATAGTTACCATCTTACTTTAGTGTTTTAGCATGCTAACATTAATTAATTTGCATTACAAATACAAAGAGAATAACTGACAATGATAAGAATGTATTATAGGTTTTTCTGGTGTTTGGTGATCCCCTGACTTTCTCATCTAGTGCCACTATCAGGGGACAGTTTCTATTTGATTACTTTGATTTATGACCACAGTCATTCACCCTGAGAGGAACAAGAAAGCACTGTCTGGGAGCTGTGGTATTTTGACCTTGTAAGATAAGAAGTTGGGGGATCAACACTGCCATCCCTAGAGTCCCTCTGCTAGCTTGGCTAAAAATCTGAAGCATTAAATGTTTGGAGAAACAACTAAAACTGAAATCTTCCTAGAGAGGGCACACTCTATACCCTAACCACCTCATACTTTATTTTGTGTACATCCAGTGGTCAAATTTCCCATCCCTAGATCATCAAATGACCCAGAAATGTTTGCTTCTCTCCCACCCTGAGGGCCAGCCGTTCAAGCATCACTTGGGCCTCAATACGCCAAAACGTCTTTGTTTCTGCCCCCTTCACTCTCTCTCAGAACATGTATAGAGTTCTATCTTCTTCACATGCATGTAGTGTCACAGCACATTTTTCCTATTTTGTGGGTTTGACAGATCTGTTCTGATGGAATGGAAAGTGATTTAGACTTTTACAGGTATTGTATTCTGTTGAAGCTTGCTCTAACAAAGATGTCAGTCATGGCCTGATCACACCAGGATTGCACAATGTCGGGGGTAAGCATATCTGAAATATTTTCAGCACACTGCAATATGCTGAACTGTGATATGTTTCAGTAAATATATACTATACTATAATCTATCTTCTATCACAGTACTATCACAGAATCAGTCAACGTTTTCCACAGAAATAAATTCTCTAAAATAGTTGTTAAAATATTCATAGTGGATTACATGGCTGCTTGTATTTAAAAATGTGTTACTTGTGGTGACAAGCCCAAAAAGAATTATCAACCAAGTCTGCTATTCTCCTCAGCACTAAAAAGCACTTCAGCATCTTTTAGCTCATTGTTTTGTTTTAGATTGTACACTACCACATTTCTCTCCAAAGCTGGTGAAAACCAAAAACAGAATAAAAAGTGTAGTGAATGTTGGCTTTATATTCAACATTTGACCAGAAACACAATGTGTAAATAACACATGTAAATAATGTTATAGGAACTGTCCAACATTTTTGAGGACACAGCCAATTACTTTATAAAACTTGTCTTGCCTGGAAGTAAATACTGTAGCCAAAATTAAAATACTGGGTGTGTGTCAGTTTTAGACAAAATAACCAATTTGATTTTCAATATTGTATGGTTTATTATTTCATAGAACTAGGTGTTTAATGTACTTTTACACATATTTCAAATGTGCCAACCCACTCTTAATCTCTTCCCCAGCCAGGCCTCCTGTCCAAAATGTTCTGACTAGAGAAAGTTAAGAAAATTATTTTGGCTCATGTGAACATTTTCTACTAAATTCAAGAGACTACACACTTGTATGCATGTACATAAAATGTTGTCCCAGTAACCCAGTTTCAAGAGAACAATTTGCAGCTAAGTGCTAATTAAATGCTTTTATGTTCTATAGGTCTATATTTAAGTATCTAGTCCTTAGATTTTAAAAATGCATTATGTTTTTACTGGCATAAGTGAATACATAAAAATGTTTACTGTGACACTATTTGTTTGCTGCTATCTGCTGATTACATCTGTGGAACAAACTGTTAGTTTTTGAAGTGTGGCACTTCGAAAACTAAACACGTGCTAAAACACATTTATGCCTCTGAGCTGCAGAGGCCAAGGAACTCTGACGATAATCAGAACTGGTATGGGATTCACAACTCATTGCATGAATCACACACGTTACACTACCACCAGGGAAAGGTAATCAGCACATGAGAAGTGAAAGAGAATAACTGATGACTGGAGAGCAAGAAGGACTAGTAATTAAGACATTAATCAAATCTTTGACTAATCATTACAGTTCCCAGAGTGAAGGTCAGAGGAGCCCAGTCAAATTGATATGCTGCCTCCAGGAAGTGGTTTGTATCACACCACCCCAGCTAATCAGATGTTATCTCTAGTCCACTGTGTATTGTCAAAAACAAGGTATTTATCACACATTTGTACACAGTGAATTGGGGGAACAACTTTCCTGCACAATTTAATATCTTGTCAGGGGCACAAAATCAAGCCTGTCAACCCTGTTGGTTAATGTAGATTAACAAAATTTGTATGTCAAGTTGTAAGGCCCGTAAGACAAAGGTAATGTTTTTACATGCATTTGTTTGTTGGTTGGTTTGTTCACAACATATAGTAACTCAAAAAGTAATACATGGATTTTGATGAAATTGTTTGTTAGGGTATGGCCCACAGAACAATCCATTACATTTTGGCAGTGATCTGGATCATCATTCAGATCCCAGATTTTTTTGAGGATTTTCCACCATTATGAGATAGGGCCAGTTTTCAGTATTTTTGCTTCTAACTCCATACATAATGGCTACAATGCTTGGACAAAAAATGCAAGAAAACATCCACATAAGAGCTACTACAGATCAAAGTATGATTTGGATCCAAGTAATATTTCAGATCTACTATCCTGAATGTTCAGATATATAGGGGCTGACAGAAAACTTGTTGCTGTTAGACAAAAAATAAGATACAAACTTACAACTGACAATTATAGCTGAAACTCTGCTGGTTCAGTTGGTGTCAACAGATTAGATG